TTATTTGTTTTAACTTTAACTCCGCAAAAGTTTCCTTCCACAGAAGATTTCTCATTTTTTTTTTGCCTTACGTTGCCTACATATAAATCTGCGTTTTTTTAATCCATCGATTCGTTCAGAAGTTATGTCATTAGCGACCAAAAGTTCAAGTTTAGTGTAAAAACGTTTTATAATAATTAATGAAAATATTTCATAATCAATGGTCAAATAATTAATTTCTTAAGATTATATTGATATTGTATGTGTAAATATTATGATTCATCGATTTATTATTATCAAATTAAAAAAAAATGTAAATTCACGATATAAAATAAGATGAAATTGTCGTCCACACGTTGACATCATATAAAAAAGAAGAACTAAATCCGCTTGAAACAATACACAGGACTAATCCTAGAAGAACCGCTATATTTATTCACAGTATCTGCACATAAAATCTATGTTCACTAAAATCCGTGCATAACGCACACCGATGCAAAATAAAAATGAACGCGAACGAAACATGCAAAACAATCGCACGCATTGGTTATCGTGCAAAATAAATTTCCTACAGGATTCATGGTAGATCTTTTTGCGAATATTTGCAATTTAAATGAAAACAAGCGAGAAAAAACGAAATAAAGAACAGAATAGAAAGAGAGAAAAAGTTGCAGTGGAAAATCGAGAGCGCAAATAGGAAACAATGAGTCGGATGAAAAAATAACGCAAAAGAAAAGATAATCAGAGTATCTGAAAGCGTTCTCGCCATCGTTACTCGCCGAAGGAAAAAAAAATGGTGAATTGTCCATTGTTTTTAACACAATTAGTAACGCAATGTATATATTCTGTTTAATGAAATTTCATCGATTAGTTTTCTCTCATGAATCAATGAATCATTTCATTAGATTGTAAGAAAAAAAAATAAGGATGCAATGATTATCATTAATTCATGTAATTGAAATTTGTTATGCAAAACGGTTGGGTTTTTTTGTCTATAATTGCTTTTTTTCAGATTACGCGACCACTGACTTCCTATATAAAATGCTAATGTAAGTAGCATTAAAACAAGTGTAGAAAGTCTTGCTATTCCGATCTACTAAACCAGATATTAAAGAAACAAAAAGACCTACTTCGCATTTCTTGAGCAGTAAAAAGTTTTTGTGAATTATGATTTATATTATTATTATATAACGTAAAAAGTTATTAATATTTATATAGATTTAAAAGTTTTAACGATTTATAGATAAAACATTTCATCTACTAATATTTCGTATTTGCATTGCTCTGATTACAAATAGGTTGTGAAGGGTTTATGGACAGGGAAGGTCCGCATCGATATTGTAATATTTCCTTCTTAGATATTTCAATATCATGGAATAAGTTTATCGAGAAGAATGGATCTCATCCCGAGCATAAAAATCTCAAGAAAACTTTAATCTTTCCTCAAAAGAGGAATCGCTCCCTCCGACAAATATTGGATAACGCAGTTTCCTATCGATTTCCTTGTTTGCTTTGTACATAGAGGACCGACGAAATAACGATCTCCGCAAAAAAAAAACATATTATTGTAATTGTGACTAAAAGCTTTGTTTTTTTCGTGGAAATAGCTATTACACTATAAAGTGCATATGCACTTTTTAATGTAAAATTAAGTTTATATAGAACAGAAAGATTTCGGTCATTATGCAAATGGGTTAAGTTAAATTATGTGTATTTTTTGGAATATTTACATTTTGGAATATTTAGAATATTTAAAATATATTTTTGCAATTGAATTAGGTAATATCACATATATTTTCATAATATATTTCTAATAATTTAGTTGAGCTTAGAACAACGAACTTGGAACTCGAACAAAAAAAAAATAAGGAAACATTGGTTTTGAAATTCGAACATAAACTTGAAAGTCGAACAAAGAATCATGAAGTCAACCTCTCTCTGTGTACTTATATAAAAAAAAAGACAAAACAAATAAATCTTCAACATAAACTTGAGAGTCGAACAAAAAATCACATAGTGAACATCTGTCTCTATATGGAAAATATACTTAAATACAAAGAGAAAAAGTAAATCAAAATAATGTCAACAAACTACAAGTGAGTTACAAATGGAATTAATTGCAATTATTCACTGTATTAATTAATCTTGTAGTAATATTTCCGATGTGATTATTATTAATTGATTATTATAAACTAATTAAAATGTTTATTACTCCACATACATTATTTGTGATTAACGTAAGTGAAATCATTTTTTCTTTCTCATCATATATCTATGAAACTCGAAAAAGAATTGAGAAAATAACCCGATTTTGAAAGTTGATCATAGAATCATATAGTTAACATTTGTTTCTGTGTTTAAATGAAAAACTTAAATAAAAAAGACAAAAAATGTAATTATTAATTGAGTCAACTACTGCAATGGGCTATTGACCATAGGACTTTCTGCCTATATTAATTGATTACTCATACATTATTTGTGATTGACAAAGGATCATCGAAGTTTGCACTCGAAACTCGAACCAAAAATAGAAGAATATCCAATTTTGAAACTCGAGATATAATAAACTTGAATGTCGAACAAATAAGAATGTACTTCAATAAAATATTTAAATTACAAATAGATATTTAGAATATTCAATAATAAAGAAATGTTTTAAGAACTTGTTTTAATCAAAAAACACACATAATTATTTTAATTTATATTTTTTTTTCTTTACAATTGTCATTTTGTTAAATATTGATATATAATATCGCAAGCCCGAAAACCGAAAGACCGTCTATTGAAATCCCGACTGCATCGAAATCCCGACGTTCAAAATCCCGACTATATCAAAATCTCAACAACCATAATCCCGACTGTATCAGAATCTCGACAACCATAATCCCGACTATATCAAAATCCCGACTGTATCAAAGTCCCGACTATATCAAAAAAATTTACAATAACATTTTTAAATTATTTAGGAGCGTAGTCACCTTGTGCTACTGTTTTATTATTAATAACAATAAATTATTATTAATCTATTTGATTTTGTTGAATTATTCATAATGAACCTTAACATTATGAAATAATCTCAAATACAATTAGATTATTAATTGTTTATTATTTATTATTAATAACAATTTAAAAGTCACTACGCTCCGGAATAATTTAAAAATTTTATTGTAGGTATTTCCGATATAGTCGGTATTATGGTTGTTGGGATTTTAATATAGTCGGGATTTTGATATAGTCGGGATTATGGTTGTCGGGATTTCGATACAGTCGGGATTTCGAACGTCGGGAATTTGATTGACGGTATTTCGTTTGTCGGGCTTGCCACCAAATGAATGTATATAAATGTTAATAATGATTATAAAACTTTTGTTTTTAAAGTTTTTATACGCTATGAATATTATTATCATCGATTTGGAAGTAACATTTTAAAACATTGACACTGTTATATAAAATTAAAAGCTTATTTCTTTAACCACTGCCATTACGACCACCTTGTATTATTTTTTTCAGAATATTCCGTTGTAAATTACAGTATGTGTCTGAGTATAAATAAATGAATATTCTATCATACATTTTCAATTATAATTAGTAGCCGCAGTAGTAATATCCACGTGTTTTTCATTTCCCTTGTAATTTAACATCGTTCTCACAGAGGTATTTAAGTCATGTATATTAATTAAATATTTAAGTATTTAAACTTATAATTATATAAATCCGACATTTTCATTTTTTAAATTTTTGCCCCCAAAAACAAATAACTATTGAAAATTACAATTTATTAATAAAGAGAGTGGAAAAAATACTATATTTGTATAGAGACAAACTTTTATGTATGTTCATGCATACAATTTCCTGCTAATTAACGAATTATTAATTATTTTTTTATATAATATCATTAATTTTTATATATTTATTATAAAATATATTATATGTAAAATACCAAATTATTAAACTTCTTAATTAGTTTTATATACAAAAAAATATATATAAATTTAATTAATTAATTAAATATCATTATTAAATGAACATACTTTTTACATAGATTAAAATGGAATATTTTACTAAAATTTCTATTAAAACGTTACGTAATCAATGTAGGAATCGAACTTTTCATAAGATACGGTTCCAATTTCCTTTCACTTTTCCGAATTGAAAAACTTAAAAGTTCCGTATCGAATCTATCATGATTTTTATGAAAGTGTAAAACGATTGCGGTCAATTTAAGTTATGGACCTGAAATCAAAGTTTAGCTATTTCGATTATATTACTGTACATGAATTAAGGATAAATATCTTACTACTTTTTTTTACATACTAACCATTTTAAATTGCAAAATAAATTGAAATGTTAATGCAATTGCAATGTTAATATAATATGAGAAATAAATAGTAAAAATAACTACGATATTGGAAAATAGTTGTGGTTATATATTAAATGAAAAATAGCAAATCTTTTTTTTTGTTTATACTGTTTATCTGTTAATATATATATGCTGATGTCAATCTATTGAGCAACTTTTGTTATTTTCAAAATAAAATAAAAAATGTTATTTTGATCATTTTAAATTTTAAAATAAATTTAAAAGTAAATTAGATTTCATTTTATTGATTATATTAAATGTAAGATTAAATGCAACAATCATTTTATGAATGGAAACAAAATATTTCTGAATATAAAACTTTATTTTAGTAATAAATTAATTACATGATAAAATAATTATAAAAAAAAAGTTGACATTTCAGACAAAAGTCTTTCAACACCTTTAAGTTATTATGTATATAATACGAATTTATTGATCAAAATTTATACTGAAGGTTTATATTAAGTTTATCTAAAGCTTAATAGAAACTAATTGAATTAATTATAAAACAAAAGATTGTTAATTACAGTCTTAAACTATTGTAATTATCAATCTTTAATTATTAGTAATGAATTAAACGGTTGTGGTAACGAAAGTAAAAGGGATATCAACATATAATAGTAAAGTATTGAATTAAATAATAATATGTGTAATTTCTTACATTCCATTTCTCTATTTCCGTTAATCTATTGGCTAGGACACAACCCGCACTTCCGGCTCCGACGACGATGAAATCGAATTCCTCTTGTTCGATGGCACCGTGGAAATTATGGAAGTTCCCAAAGCCACTGAGATATTCGTCTTCGGCGTCTCGGGAGCCACCAAAAAGCGTGGCAATCAGCTTCAAGAATAGGAACGTCGAGGGCGAACAATTCGTTATAGAAGTATGCACCGCACACAGGGAGGACAGATCCTGTGGTATCCACGACATGGTTTGCTCTTTAACGCCGAAAACGCACTAACTACAGATGCAATTTGCACTCTGTTTCAAGTCTAGTCTTTGGATCAACTATATTTCCTTGTGCACCACCACTTTAACGCTCGGCGACTTAGGTAGAAAGGTAACACATGGTTGCACAACGCATTCAAATTTTATTAAGACTGCAGCATGCATTCCAAACAAATCTGTCTTCATTAAACACCGCAACTGTTTTAAACAAATTTACATGTTACATATGTCTTAAGGAAAATAATGATTATATCGAATGCGATACCATTAAGAGTTTTTCTAAATGAAAAAAAAAGTTGTTTTAACACAAATCTAATAAGGAAATAACGATTATGTCGAATGCGAAAGTTTTTTTTCCAAAGTTTTTTAAAATAAAAATAGTAAATTGATGTATGCAAAAGTTGCATTCACTAAAGCGCAACGTTTATTGCTATCAAGACGAAATAAAAAAGCTTATTAACACAAATCGAATATGAAAATAACGTTTGTATGGAATGCTATAATTTCAAGAATTTATCTAAATGAAAATAGTTTATTGATGAATACAAAAGTTGTATTCACTAAAGCGCAATTGTTTTAAGCAAATTTACTCGTAAGAATATAAATATCATAAGGAAATAACGTTTATTGCGATCAAGAGTTTGTATAAATGAAAAAGTTGATTGACCAAAGAAAAAAAGCTTTACAGGAGGTTGGTTTCCATTCCAGCTATAAAATGTCCATAAATGCAATTTCGCGGGAGCCGATCGCAAATCCTGATGTTTAAGAGAGAGTGAGTGAGAGGGGCTGAGTTAGTGGACGGGAATAAGGAACGGGGACGTGATAAGACTGCCGAGAAACGGACATGGGACATATCATTGACCTCCAGGATGTAAGAAGGAAGAGAAAAGGAAACCCACCGATTTCGAAAATCCATTGCCTTAGTCGGGGTCGTCCTGTATTCCTGATTGAAAATAGAATGACTCGATGGGACAGGGATGCTTCCATCTTCTTTTCTTTCTTTTTTTTTGTTATGTAACATTCCTTTTTATTTCTGATCACCCCGCTGTTGCTGCACTCCACTTCTTTCTTTCTTCTCTCACCTCTGCCATTAGAGGTAATTGCAGCTTTATTGGAGGCGCTCCATCTTTGCACACTTAGCGAGGCACAAAAAAACCTGCATTTCCTATTTTCCAGTTAACGTAAACACACTTTTTTCCAAGCAATTACCTCTAACTTACGATTTAATTTACTTCACATATCTGCACTTATTAGCATTTTACCTTCAATAATGTTTATTAATTACATTAATTATTCAATAATTTTCAAAAATACTACATTTCTTCATATTTTTACAACAATATAAAACAACTTAATCATTTCAAATTATGTAATAGAAAAATTTAGATTTATTTTAAATATTATTTATATAATTAATTTGTTATTTTTATGTACATGTATATTTTTTCTTACGTAATTTATATTATACATTAAAGCGGCGTTTCTCATTTTATTAACGTTAAAATTTTAATGGATTACGAAATGACAGCTGTCACCTTTGACACAATGTGACAACTGTCTGGTGAAAGTCACGAAGGCATAAGGATGTGTACGTGTATTATAGTAGATTTTATGTAATGTTCAAATGCATATATATCTCTGTCTATTTATTTGGATGCATATAATGGTAATTTAGTCACTTAGTCACATAATTATGTAAATAATATAATTATTTAATATTATTAAATAATAGACTAGAAAATATATTTTGTTTTTTTTTAATATTGAGGTTCAAGTATATTAATGTAACTAATTAAAGAAATAAATTGAAATTTCAAATACTTTCATTTAAAATCTGTAAGTTAAGCAACAAATATATAAGTAAAATTTGAATATAGTATACGCATTTATTGATTAAAATAAATTTGATAAAAAAATACTATATTCGTCAATTGCAAAGGAATGTAGCAAAAAAAACGTAGACATCTGTAGTTTCTAGGAAATATGCATAAACAATGAATGAAACGTAGTAAAAGTGATAAAAAAGATGTGTAGAAAATTCCGTCTCGAGTCTAGACGATAAGATAAAAAATAATTTATTCTAAATAACATCGACGAGGAAGAACAAAAAAAGTGCTTATATTATTTCAATGTCTCGACTATTTTTTTGTAGTAATTTAATTGCATTCTTTTCATTTTAAATACAGCATATCTCGCATAGTGCGGGTACACGCCGCACTGTTTGAAACCGGATTAATCAAGGACTTTAAATTCGCATAAGAATAAAAAGACATTTGACTGTAAAAAGAATATATTATGTATAAATAAAAATAATTTTGTGTAATATTTTTTTTCAATTTTGTTTAGAAATTTTCAATCCGGACTACAGTAAATCCGGATTGATCAAAACCGGAGTCTTTGCAAGGTTTAACTGAATTATAAAGGATGTTTTGTGACTTAAAAATGTATTATTACAAATGATAATTGTTTTCAATGTCTTTTTCATGTATATTTATAATATTAGTACATTTATTAAGAGAAAAACTGTTTTTTATTCTTGAAAGTAAGAAAAATAAAATAATCCAAAGATGCGAAGTAGAAAATTTGCTTAATTTCCTAAAGATTTATATATAAAATATATTATTTTCCTTCATTTTCAGAATTCATTACTTTGAACTGTAAATTAATGTTTATAATAATACATTATAATTCTAAAATAATATTATCTTAGTATTAAGAATGTATTTTTATAATATATACGTACCAATTGTGTACAACTACTCACAAATATGTTGGGTTGCGTGGTAAAAAGGTTGAATAATAATACTTTATTTTGTTTCAACGGATATTGTGAATATTGAAAATAAAAATAAAAATAACTAAAAATAGCGTAAAATGTCAAGATTAGTATTTCAAAATACTTACATAGATTAACTAAAGTTATCTACTCACGTATTCATTTCTACAGCAAAGGTACCCTTAAAAGAGAAAATTGAACAATAGTCATTTATAGTCTTATATAGTACTATATAGGAGCATTTATACAATAAATAATGTTTATTATTATTTGTGAACAACTAGGAATTTGATATAAATATCTCCTAATTACCAGGGCGAAGGTCGGAATTATCACAAATTGATTAAATTCAAGGCCGTAGTAAAACATATATGTCCATTCATTTCTAAGGTGTAGTCAGTAAAATTAACATCCAATTCATGTAAAGATTACAATCGAAACTCCTAAGTAATTTTATTAATATATACTTACACAGCAATGGTAATTTGATATAAATAAATACAGTTTCCTCAAGCTTCCAATTTCCTCTATGATACTCAAATTTTCAACTTCTATTGTTCATCAAATATAAAATCCCTAATTAGATGTACAAGACTTTTAAAACGATGACTTTAATTTCTATGTATTATAAAAACATACTTCCTATGCAATGTTCCTGTTTTTGAAATACCTCTCATAGTGCGGATAATCGGTTACAATTGTTAAAAACAGGACTAATGAAAGTAATACCTGCACTATATGAGGTATTACTGTATTCTTTTATGGGTTTCTATTAACAATTTATAGTCTTAAATTTATATAGAAGTAAATTTTATAAAATATATAATAACATCTTTTTTTATGATAAATTTATTATTTACAATGTGGCAGATGCTGACAAAGATGAAACCATCTAAAAATATTATTATTATGCATAATAATAACATTGATCAAAGAAATTTAGTTGGGTCATTGTCCGTTTCGTGTCATATAATAGTCCAGCAATAAACTAGTTTATTATTATTTTCATTATATGAGACAAGTCAGTAAAGTAAAGTGACTTTACAATTCTCGTTAAACTTTTCGTATAACTATTCGCATAAAACTTTATTTCATTGACCACAAAACTTTGCGATTTTCAAAATGTTTCCCTAATCTACTATTGGATGCACACAAAATATATGAAATTTGTATTTATCAAAAAAAAATAAGTAAGTAAAAAAGTTAATAAATTACATATAGTCAATTGCATACTATACTTAATTACATTAGAGGTCAGTGACACGGTGTAAATTACCGCATTTAATGTGAAAATTAAATTATTGGGAATTAATGAGGACATTTATCAATTATTATACATTTTTATATATAAAGAGACGCGAAGTCTTTTAAAGTTATATATGAGGAGATAATCAAAAAGTTAATGTGTTTTGTAACAACCTACAGTATACAAATTGCGGTATAATTATCGCAATTTCAAATTAAATGAGTATTTTGGGATAATTATAAAAAAAAAGTTCCCAGACCCCTAGTTTAGAAACTAGTTCAAGTCAACTGTATGTATAATGTGTTTGAATAAATATATTTTACTTTCTAAAAAAACGTTAAGAAAAAATAAATCTATAATAATAGGTTTGTCGGGGTTATTGTTACAACGGTGCAAATTGTAAATTGTTAGGGAAAAAATGATATTGGTTCATGTTTGTTTAACAATCTCACTCACAATAGTTTAAGGTTGGAGTAACGCCCACAATTTAACATTTCATGCATTCGTTTCTTTTTTTCAATAGTTAATAATGCAAAGTGTTCATGACTTCACTTTGTTCTGCTATTTACATTAATAATATTATTCAGACATTATACAAAATTGATAATAGGATTACATTCATGTACATTTTTGTCTGTATGAAATCTAGTTATGTGTAGTTTTTTTTTTTAATTTGTTGTTGGAAAAAACACACAACATTATCCTTCAAAAAAAATATACATTCTAATTATTGATTATATTTAAAATATACTAAGAGACAATTATTTATCAACTTTAAAATTGTTATTTTATGTTGGATTTTACATACGTGTATTTTATTTCAATAGTCATGAAAAATTTGATGACATATTAAACAAGTCACATAAAATACGGTTTAATTAGAAAATTACTGTTTAATAAGATATTTGAAAGTTAACTTCTGTTTTTGTTCATTTTGCTAAGCTTAAATGAAAAACAAAATAAAAAAAAATACAG